ACTGCCCTTGCTCGAGGGCTACACCAGCTGCATTGCAGACCCTGTTTCTATGAAAGTAACATAGCTCTAGCTGCTGTATTATAGTGACAGCAGTGGTACTGCTGAAGTCTTGAAATAGCCAAGTGTGACAGTCGCCTCTTGTCCTCCCCAGATGAACACCATAGCAGTTCATCACTGATTCTGTAGAGCATCTCATTGTGAAGGCGATTTCCTTGTAAGCAGATGGCTGAAGAGTGTAGTGTCCCAAGTGCTTGTTGGGACAAAGCACAGACACAGAGCTTTGCTCAGCCTGCTGGCTGTGGGTGTTGGATCTGCCTTGAAAGTGGCCCTAGTAGAATAAATAGATGTGACTGCAGCCTGAAACCCTGTGAGACAAGTTCGTCCCCCGTCCCCCAGCCACACTGTGCCTGACACTAGCCTGTCTCTGTCGAGGTTTGGGGGGTAAGGCATCTCCCTTGCATGAACCGCAGCAGAAGGCTCTGCTGCAGAGGCTCTTGCAGGGTTAATGCACAGCATCCCTCCCTCTGCTCCATGGGGTGATTCAGTAAAGTCAGCTGTGTGAGGAGTGTCAGGAGAGCAGCTGGGTCCTGCCAAGGCAGTGAGAAACAGCCTCTCCTCACAGAGGAGACGCCCCTGTGAGGGGTGCCAGGCTCCCTGATAAGAAGATGCTGGGGCAGTTCCCATGTTCCTCTGTCCCCAGCCACAGAGGCTGGGCCCGGGTGCTTTCTCAGGGTGCACTGGGTAGCAGGGCTGGGCTGCGAAGGGCATGCAGTCTTAAGGCAGTGTATGAAAGACCTTTGGACTACAAAAGCCACACACAGTGAAGCTTTGCAGGGCTGCCTGGGTTCATGCAGGGGAGATACCTCACCTCAGACCTTACAGGCTGGTCACAAGTGTGCTCCAGACCATTTTTTGAAAAGAGCTAGAGGTTGGTTTGCCTGAAACTTGCTGCAAACACCCATCAAGCCAGAGACTGACAGAAACTAGTTGTCTGTGACCTGGGTGATGGTGACTCTGGTTTGTGGGTTGGTTAGCTGGCTCGCACCACATTATCAGAGCCATTGAAGCTATCTGAAGACAACTGGACGGGTTGTTCCCACAAGTGCTGCTCTCCTGCATGTGCTCCCAGGCACAGGGCTGGGTCTGCAGCTCTGGCACAGTGGAGAGCTGGTGTTCACATAATGGGGTACATGCAGCTCAGGAGGGCTGCCAAAGGGGACCCCAGCACACATACTTGCCCAGGCTGCCTTGTCACAGCAGGGCTGTACACTGTAAGGTGGTCATCACAGGTTGATGACTATGTGGGGATGTGATGTGTGTCAGGGGACATGGTTCCCCCTGTGGGCTTCAACAGGAGAGGGAGCAAATCCACAGAGAGGACTTGGTGTCTCTTGAAGATCCTTTGTATATGAAACCACCAAAGGTTTGGTTTTACCTTGTGTGTAGCTCCTCTGATAAAAACATGTGACTTTTTAATTACTCCTCTGTTAGAGGAAAAGAGACCTGTCTGGTCCTGAGTTCACAGAATCATAGAATCACAGACTGATTTGTGCTGGAAGGCACCTCAAAGCTCATCCAGTTCCAACTCTCTGCCACGGGCAGGGACACCTTCCACTAGACCAGGTTGCTCCAAGCCCCGTCCAACCTGGCCTTGAGCACTGCCAGGGATGGGGCAGCCACAGCTTCTTATGTTAATGATTTTCCTTCTCAAATCTGGTTTGTTATTTTTAGCTAAGTTTCTCACCAAAACAGACACTATTTAAGACAAAAAAGGAGAGGCTAGACAAAGCTCACACAGGGTGAAACATTCTCTTATAGCCTGGGGCAGCAGTATCCTGGCAGCAGGATTGCTGCCTGCAGCTCTGCCCTAGGGTGGTTTAACCACCTAAGAGAGGGTTCTGCTCAGGAGTGCTCTGCTAAAGCAAACCTTCTTATCTGGCTTTCCTCTGTCTTTTTCTCCGCCCTTCTTATGACATGTAGCTGAGCAGCTGTGTAACTTGCTATGGCCATGAACCGCTCCATAAGAGGTTTACTGAAAACATGCTTATGGTTTATTTGCAATTCCAGGCCATATTGGAAATTAAGTCAAATGCCAGTGTTTGCCAGCACTTGACACCACCTCCTTGCCTGCCCCATCTGCTGTCTTGGGACTGCAGTACTGGCTGCTCTGTCTGTTTGGAGGTTTTATGAACTGCATGTGCAGGAGAGGCTCCTTACCATCTGTGTGCACGGTACCAGGGGGGATTCTCCTACCTGGGATATGCAGCATAAAGCAGGCCTGGCTGTGTATTGCCCCTATGCTTCCCTGGAGCACCTCGCTCCTTCCCAGCAGGTCTGCAGAGCATCTCCAGCACTCGAATCTTGGGCAAGGGTTCCTCAGACCTGTTTTCCTAAATTGTGCCCATCTTGACAGTGACAGCTATGTCACATTTTACTCCTGCAAACACCTTTCTTAAAGATCCATGGCCTGAAGCAGAGTCAGAAACAGAAGCCTGTATATTTTGTTGGAGACACAGCGCTTTAAAGCTCAGCAGTAGATGGCAACATCTGTGCTCCTCAGTTCCTCCTGCTAACCAAAAATTCCAGGCTGAGGAAAATGGGAAACTGCCTTGCAGCAGTAGTGAGTCGGGAGAGGCCACGGGCTTTGGCAGAGCCAGAACTTCTGCTTGGGTAAAATCTGAGTGTTTGAGTAACTGGGAGCAAGACTCTGACTGAGAAGCTGGCTCAGTTCACCCGGCTGCCTCCAAAAGCTTGTGAAGTGCTGAGTCAGCACCGTGCTCTGAAAGAGGTGGTGTGTCTTGGCTGCACCTTGGGATGGTGGAGCACACGTCCCATTGAACCTCTTTGATCCTTTCTGTATGGTTCATTCACAGAACAAATCTCCCATTACCTTTCCATTGGCTCTTGTGACTGGCTGCTACAACAGTGCCATTGTCTGCCTCACCTTCCTACTGATTTTGGCAAGCCGAAGAGGACTGCCTCGTTGCATGGCCCCTAGCTCTGTTTCCCTCTTTCTTTGCTGGAGAGTCCCCAGCAGCTGCAGCAGGTCTGATGCTAACATTCCAGTTTTGCTTTCCATGTTCAGTGCACTAGTGCCTTTCTTGTTCTGACAGCTACAGGGACTGTCCTGTGGCTCCTCTGTGCCCAGCTCAAAAGGAACTATTTTTCTAGGAGTGCTTGGGCTCCCATTTTGGCTCAAGGGAGCAGGAGTATTTTTCAGTGCCAAGGCTGGTATGCATGGTGGGATGCTGCACAGTGCAGTGCCCTTTGGGCTGTGACACCTTCAAGCAGGGGCTGAGCAAGGAACCCCTTCTGGCAGCCGATCCCCACACACAATGTTTGGGAGCCTTTCAGGAGGAGGATGTGACCCTACAAAACCCCCAGCCTGCAGATGTTTTTCCGAAGTGAGCATTCAAGCTATCGCTCTTCCTAGACACATGGGTTTGCAAACTGTAATGAATCCCTGGTAAGGTGTTTATTTAGCTCAAAAAAAGAAAAAAACCAAACCATCAGGAAATGCCCCATTAATGCACTGGAGATAGAATCAAGCTGGGAAACTCCAGGCTGGGCTTTAACAGCAGAGCCGGTGATGCAAAAACCATGTGTTCAGCAGGCCAGAAGCCAGGAGCCCCAGGCTCTGATCCCAGGGCTGAGCTCTCCAGCTTGGCTAATAAACTACAGGAAAGCTGGTGGGGGGAGCCTTTGTTTAAATTTCCCCATGCTTTCCTGGACAGGCTCTTTTTACCATATGCATTAACAGTTTAAAAGGCACTATATTACTTGGGGTTTCCAAGTAAGATGTCTTCTCTGATCCATGGCAGCCTCCCCGGGTCTCCCTGCTCAGCTGCAGTACAATACCTCATCGCTGCCTGCATGGAATGAGGATGTGCCACTTGCTGGAAGATGTATGTGTGTGTGCGTTTCCCATAAGGCCATCAACTACAGTGTGCACAGTAAAAACCCAGAACTGATTGGTTTTGGTAGAGTTTGGTTGGTTTTTGGGGGGTTTTCTTCCCTGCTGTGATTAAGAAAAGCTCTTGCTTAACAAGAAAGCATTTGCTAGAGGCGTGCCTGGCCATCATTAGTAGATAAAACCAGTTTATAGCTCTTTTGGGGCTGATAATAGTAAGATCTTTGGACACATAAGATAAAGAAAAGCTGATCTGTAAGAAAACTAAGTAGCTCAAAACTGGACTGTATTTCTGTTTGCATAGCATGTACACCCTTCTGGAGGGTGGGAGGCATTATAAAAACAATCACTGCTGCACAGAGCTATGAACTAAGCTTGGAGAGGGATGGTAAAAACAGAACTCACTGTACTTACTGCTTTAAAATCTAAAAACATCTGCTTAGGCCACAAGGTTTGTTGACCCACTCCAAGCTGCGGCCCCACCAGAAAAATATCATTTCAGTTAATACAGACTACTGCAGGGGATTGCAAAAGACTTGGGAAAAGTAGGTTAGATAATAACATGGTATAAATAGAAAGGAAGCATCAGATTTGGCTTTCTTTTTTTTCACTCACGCTTACCTCAGGAGCAGTAAATAGAAACCTATTAGATTCACCCCACAGCTAAGGGGTGGCCAGCCAGGCCTGAATCCCAGCTGCTCCTCTTTAAGGCTCTTATTAAATAACAACACATTTTTTGTCATATTTTTTCTGGTTTCTTCCTGTTGGCCGTATCTTTATTCGCACACAGTCAACCAATACAAGTTCACTGAAAGAGTGGCAGTTTACAAAACACAGTAAAAGTGATTACTTTGAATCAAAGTTTAAAAAACCCTAAGTCTGGCCATCTGGCAGGCAACGCACTGTTTGCAACAGGTCATGGTAAGGAAACAGTTTATAACACTGGCAATGTACTCCCAGCCATGTTCCTTTTCCAGAGCATAAAATACACAATACAAAAATATAATCAAAGTAATAATGAGTTTGTAGAAAATCTGCTGCAAAACAATTGCTGTTTTCTGATTTGTTTTACCCCCATGCTATAGTATGATAAAATACTTGAATAAACATGGCTTATTTCTAACTTAATTTGAGCTTTAAAGTTGAATTCAAGTGAACTGTAAAGTCTTGGGCTCCAATCCTGGAACTACATAAAGGATCTTAACTTTGGATTTGTAAGACTGATAGACATTAGGTGAGCCCACAGGTGAGTCTCATGCAATGCCTTGGGCTCCTGCTCAGGAGGGAAGTGGAAGTGCAGTACTTCACAGGATCTTAATTTGGGGCATTTTCCTGGATTTTTCAAGACTTAACAAGTCTTCCCTGGGCTACCCTTTTACCTGATAGGCTTGAGTTCATTAGGTTGCTGGTAATCGTAGATTAACAGCCCATTTTTGAGATCTAGGGCTCTGCACTTAGTTGAGACAACTGCAGTAAGTCTCACTCCTCTGCATAATTTTACCTGTCCCCTTCACCTTTCCTTTCTCCCTCCTGGCCTGGTACCATCAAAATGGCCTCCTTCCATGTGAGATTGCTGGATGCTCCAGTGCTTTACTAAGGCGGCTCACACTGAGTTTTGCATGAGCTCCCTGCATTTGGAGCACTATTCCCTTAGTGTTTCCAAGTTGAGAGACCCACTTGTAGAAGTGGAAGCCTATGAGACCTTACCGTGATGAGCAGCTATCCCCTCAGGCTGGCAGGCTTGCACTGAGCATCTCTGATGTACATGCAATGCTCATGGGAAACAGTAGTTGGAACACCCCTTGCCATGACAGAGCAACACACTGCTAGCAGGCAAGTGTTTAACTCTATGATTTCTTGCTCCTTTCTCTCCCAAGAGCCTATCTCAAAGCCTTTAAGAAGAGAAGTCAGTATTGCTCTGTATTTACAGACAGGAAGACGAAGGCACCAAAGGTTGAGCTCACTTGGCCAAGCCTGATCTGCAGGTCTCTACCCAGTCTGTACTCTTCACTGAGCTGTTGCTCTCTTCACTCTGTCATATGAGACACATTCTCAGACGGGTAATCCCATCTCTGCTCCCCAAACAGACACCGCATGCAGGGGCTAAGATCCACCATCCTAGGCACAACTTCCAGGGAAAACATCAAGAAGGGTGTGCACTGGAGGCCAAAAGCTGGTTTCACAATGCCTAAATGCCACTGACTCCCTAGGACTTCAGCTATGGAAAGATGACCAGGATACTTCTGAGGTATAGAACTCGGTGTCTGCTGGCCACTGGTCAGCTTTGTCATCATCAGACTTGTCGCTGTCATCACCACTGGAGGGTTCATAGCCTGGGATGGCAGAGCAGATCGGCTCCTGCTGCCTGCAGTCTCCCTCCGCCTCCTTCTTCTTTTCTCCCAGCAGCTGCCTGTAGCACAGGTTGCAAACCCTCAGGGGCTTGGGGGAAAGCCGGGGCATCAGGAACCTCTGCCTGGAGCAGTCTGCACAGACAACAAAGCCACACTTGCGGCAATGGTGCCTTCGCGTGAGAGCGGAGAATTTGGTCTGCGTGCAGCGCATGCAGATATCCGTCGCCTTGTCCGGAATCCAGGGAGCCGCGTGCTCCGTGGAGGGCTGCCGGCCCGTCTTTGTCAGCAGGTGCCTGATGCACTCCTCCAGATGGCTGATCCACTCCTTCCTCTCCGTCAGGGAGGCTGCAGAAACCACAAAGGACTTCTTGGAGGTTTTAATCATCCAGCGGTTCTTCATCTGTAGAGTGTCTGGCAGCGTCTCCAAAGTGACATCTTCAAGGGGAATGATGTGCTGGGAATTGTACTTCCTTTTGTTGATGACTATGCTGCCATAGACAAGGATGTCATTGAAGAGGAAAAATATCCGAGGTTTTGGTTTCTTGCGGCATTCTTTGGTTAAAATCCCTTCTCCTAGAAGGACCCTTCCTGGCACAGCTAAAGGCTGTCCAGAAGCCCCAAAGCAGTTTTCTACAGCAGCAATGCGCTGGCTGTTGATCTCAGTGTTTGCAAGATGGTCCACCATCTCCAGCTCACTCTGAGGAAAGTAAAGAGGGAAGTGGTGAGCTTGCAAACATTTGCACCACGGTGAGGCTAAGGCAAATGCATGCACAGATGAGACACTTCTAAAGCAACCTGAGGTTACGATAATCTCCTTACCACTCCTCGCTAGTTTGTTACCTTTACAAGTTAAATTTTCAAACTTTATGACACCACTTTGCAACAGTGGTGGAAGCCCTTGAAAGGCAGAGCCAGCTCCTTCATCACAGCCACGCTTTTTACTAGCATAACTGTGCAACCATAAAGAAAGTTGTTTGGTCTGAACCTGCTCTTATGCAGGCATAAGTACTTACTGTACTACATAAGCTGAAGGGTACCAGGACCCCTCCTTTTATCCCTCTTGGTGCTGGGAGCTAACTGATGCTCGTCTGGATGCAGGCTCAGGGAGGAGATTTATGGTCTTAGGAACAAGCCTCCCATTTCTGACTGCACACCCACTTTCTCAAGGATTAGTTAAAGCACACAAACCCCACAATGCTGTTTGGGGCCACAGCTGAGGCAGGAACAAACCAGTGCAGGATCACTTGTTCCCTCTGGTCCTCCCTGCATGACAAAAAGGGGGAAAAAAAAACCCACAAACAAACAAAAAATCAAAAAATGGAAGAAGCACCTACTCTGGGAATAAATCCACACAAGCCAAGCCCTTCCTCCCTTACCACAGTTACATCGGGGCTGCTGGTGCTTCCACTTGAAAGACATGTTATTCTTAAAATAGCTTGATCTCTGCTGAAGCATGTTCATCTATACCACACCTCTGCATCCTCCTTCTCACACAGTCTCAGGTGTCAATAGTCTGCTGGGGCTTTTTTTAGATAAGTGTACCTCTGCAGTGAAAGCAGTTGTTTGCTATCAGTAGTTTGCAGTGAGGAAAGTGCTCCTTGCTGGTTTTGTTGCACCTAGTCCCTCCTGCGCTGAAGGGTGCTGCCCTGAGGCCAGCTGGCCACGGGAACCTGAGTCATTTCCTCCTCCAGAGAGGTAGCTCAGCCATCACGAGGCAGCTCCGAGGTCACAGGGATGTGTATCCCCCTGGCTCCTGTTAGCAGTTCATTGAATCACTGATGCAGAGCTGTTCCCCATGGTTTTCCCTGTTCTCCTTGTCCAGAGCCCCTGGAGCCATGGACGTTGGAGGGGAAAGGGAAGGAGAGGAGGACAACACGACTGATCCTGTATGTTTAGAACAATGATAATTTGCATTCTTCCCTTGCCCTTCACCCCAAATCATCCCTTTGGTATTCTAGAAGGGAAACCACAGAGCTGTTGCTCAAGGGTGCCGCATGCTATTTACAGCTGACCTGAGCTAGCTGGCAGAAAGACCTCTTAATTCCTCTGAGTTCCCAGAATTTCCTTCTCTAGAGCAGGAGAGGGTACAAAGGCACAAAGTTAAGATGCAGGTTTAGCCTGGGGAGACCTAAATGGAGTAACCTACCCTGCAGAAATCAAAAACACTACAGAAGTATTGAGTGGCCAGTGCTCCTGAAAAGCTGGCTTCTTTGAGGTCTCCCTTGAACTAACAGGAGGATCCCAAGGCCTCCAGCTTCCTTCAGGAAGGATGTGCATCCTCAGGGTCTTGAAGCACCAGAATGGATTTGATGGAGTTGGACAGCATTAGGCATATCCACTCATATGGGTATGCTTCAGTGTGAAGGACAATTTACAATGAACTGAAATGCTCAGATGGAGGGAATCTGATACCCTCAGCAGCAGCAGCTGAAGAAATGCCTCAACCAACCCTCGATCTCAGTATGGACATGCAGAAGTTGTGGAAAGGGATTTATCACTGCTGTCAGGAGAGGAGAAAGGCTCTGTTCTCCTTGATGTGTCAGCCCAAGTGGACCTGAGCATGGAAGGGAGCTGCTCTGCTGCAGGACATACATCCAAATCTGTTCTGAATTACAACAATGCACCATGGTGTTTTTTTTTTCTCTCCCTCTTAAATGAACAAGTAAGACTGAAGAACAAATAGGCAGGGCAAACTGCTCTACAACTGAACACTAAACTCTCTGACCGTGAATACCCAGAGTCACATCTATCTTGGAATGTGGTTTTGGGAGGTTTCTGATAAACAAATCCATGGATGAAGAGCTGCTGAGTGAAAGACCAATAATAAAGGAAAGACCAAATAATAAAGGAAAAGAAAAACTGAAATTACGGCTTGGGAAGTTTGGTGTGGAAAGACAGTGAATGCAACAAAATACTGTCAAGAATTTTTGGCAGCAGCAACACCAAGTGGGATAAACCAAAGCAGTTAATCCTGTTCCCACCAGTCTCACTTCCTCATATTTCTGGGTTATGGAGCACCAGCTCTCAGCCTGCTTCTTTTACTTTATATATTTTAGAAGCATGGTCCAACCTTTCAAGCATGTACAGTGCTTGACATGACTCTGTTTCTAGGTATCCTCCTATATCTGAAAACTTTTTGTCAGATATAAAGATTGTGCCTGCAAAGAGCCAGGAAACATGAGCTTATTTTCAAAGAGAAGTGCTAGCAGTGGAACAGCAGTGGTAAGATGTAAAAATAAGAATACAAATTTTAATCTCTTTTCTTTTCCTGTTTGTTCAAGTTTGCCCTGTCGGGTCAGCACGGTCACAGTGCTTTTTACCACGGGATACATACGCACGTGTGTCACATGCAGCAGAAGATTACAGAGCTAACATGAGGGTGTGAAGATGTACTTTACGAATGTGCTACTTTTCACAGGAGTTTTTGGCATGGCAAAGTTTGGGGTTTGTTTTTCTCGTCAAGATCTGTTGGTTCTGCATGTGATCAAGTATTATGCAGTGAATATATAACTCTGTGAATATGACTTATATTCATAGGAAAAAGAATATTATTTGGCAGTCCACTTCAGAAGTAAGCAAGCCATGTTTTAAAACAATGAGCTCTTGTTCACTTGTGATTCTAAGCAGCCATGTTGATGCATGCCAGGCAAAGCATTTCAACTGAAACTCCTGGATCAGGGAGCCTGGGGTATGTTTTCAAGACGGTGTGTATCTGAGGCTTGGGCATAGCAATGTAGTGAACTGTTCTACCCGATTCTTCTGTTCTTGCTGTCACACAGAACTGACAGTCTTGGTATCCACTGCATACCTAATGCATACCACATGCAAGGGATAGTCCAGGCGTAATGGCGTGCACTGAGATCTGACTGCCAAGGTCTGTCAGCAGAAAATGCCCTGCACCTCAGCTCTCTGCAGCTCTTCCTTACTCCCTTCTTCTGCTTTGCCCAGCTGAGAAGTCTCCCCTGGAGTTAAGGTCGGTGTAAGATCTTCCTCACCAAGCAGAGTAAGCAGGATGAAGCCACCTTATAGCCACAGCAGGCATTTAGAGCAACAAAACCATAGTTCCTGTTCTTTTGCTGACAGAAGGGATTTCAGCTTGCCTCTCCCTCCTTCCTGGCATGCTGTAATTGCAGGGCTGCTGGGTGCAGGCTCTGGCAGCCCTCTTCCAGCTGTGCCCCTGAGGCAGCTCAGTGCATGTACGTTTTGTGACTGACTGTCGCATTAGGTCTTTGATTAAGAAATGCCACCAGTCCTAGTGGGATATGGACAAACAGGGCTTATTGCCACTGTTGCTCAGCACACCCAGGACTTGTGTCACATAGGGCCACAGTGAGGGCACAGCTGAGCAGTGGCATTTGAGGAGCTCAGACCGATGCTACCCAAACCAGCAGTACGAGCTCTGTTGCGGCTCTTGTGCAGGTTCAGAGGTGTCCATCAGCCTTGTACAAAAGGAAGGAAAACCTCAAACTCAGGGAAGAGCCTCACCCTCTCCTTCTGCCCAGTTCTCTGTCCATTCACCCGTTCTCAGGCAGTGCAGCACTGCGCTGCTTCCCCTGCACTTCCTCCTCCCCCCTGCCGCTCCTCAGCATCAACGCGGTGAGTGACCACAAGAATAGACATCCACTGGGAGCTCTGGAGCTGATGGGACTCACATAGCAGCATGTAGTAAGGCCACCTGTTACATCCTCAGGCTTGGGCACGGGCTCTTAACAAATGACATACACAGACTGGCTGGTGAGTGCCACCGAGGGAAGAGATGAATTCTGTCTCTCCCAGCACCTGAGAGCCCACGAGCCTTTCAGAAGGGATGCGTGGCCAAAGGTGGGGATTCCTCTCACAGCTCCGCAGCGGGATCACCCCTTCGGCTTTGCTACGCGGTCAAACTCGGCAGAGTTCCTTCTAAAAACCCTGTAAATCCGCGCTCTACCTGGCGCTCAGGCCACGCCCAGACACCGGGGTGCCGCAGACCGGCTGCCCCGCGAGCAAAGAACCGCACTCGGGACAGAGACACGCAGGCGGGCCAGGCCCTCCGGCGGCGAACACGGCCTCCCCCACCGCTGTCCCCCACAGCGGGCGGAGCAGCGGAGCCAGCTCGCTGCCCTGCGGCCGGCACCTCCCGGCGCACCAGCCCGGCGCAGTAAAGCCTAGGTTCCTAAACAGCTCTCCTCCTCTGCACCAGCTACCCTCCCTGCCGCCGCGCCAAGCCCCAAGCGCCAAGCCCCAAGCGCCAAGCCCCAAGCCCCGCCGTGGTCCCCATACCTCCGTGGAAGTGCCTTGGAGACCTCCGGCGAACAACCTCGGGCCGCGCCGCCCCAAGCAACCCCGCTCCGCAAGGGCCGAGCCACGCTCCCGCCGCTCCACCACAAGGTCCCGCCTACCTCTGAGCCCGACAGCCAATGGGCGCCGGCAGGGCTTGGCGTGCCGCGGGGAGCCACGCCCCCTCTCACGGCGGCTGCAAATGGCGGATAGGGACTGGGCGGTGAAGGGCAGCTGGGGTGCCGCTAGAGGGCGCCCAAGAGCGGTCTCTGTGGCGTGGGGGCGGTTGGGCTCAGGGTTGGTGCGCGTAGCCGCCGCTTCTCGTGTCAGGAGCCGTTGCCCGGTGCCTGTTGCCCGGTGCCTGTTGCCCGGTGCCTGTTGCCCGGTGCCTGTTGCCCGGTGCCTGTGACTGCTGCCCCCGTAGCTACCGTCAGACCTTTCCGGCCGCCTCTTGTTAGCCGAAGCCTGGGCTGGTGCCCACCCGGGGCCGCTCCAGGGGCATATCTTGTGGTGGCTGCGTGTGCCACGGGCCGCCGACCGCCCCTTCGGTGCGTCGCTGTCAGGAGAGAAGCCGGGCAGGTGAGCGGAGGCCGCGTCCCTCAGCACCCGCTGCGGCTGCCCCCGGCTCTGTTAAACACCCCTCAGCTCCCATGGCCCATGCTGATGTATAATTCAGGTGCTTCCACACTGTCTGTAATGGGTTTTCTATTTTTAATGGGAGCTGATGGACGTGTCAAGGTGTTAAAAATGTGTGGGTTTTTTTCCCCAGGTTTTTGTTTTCTTTGGTAATAATAATGTGGACTGGGAAGCTCGTAGTGCGCTTCAGGGCTGAAGTGCTTGGGCAGTCATTAGAGCTTCTACAAGACCTTATTTCTTAATACTTTATGTTCGTGTCAGATAAGCAGGTAAACGAGGACATGGACTGAGCTAACTGCAGTGTGTAGCTCCCTGGCAGCTTATGGTGAGGGGTTACAGAGACGGCTGTCAGCAGAGCTCAGTAAACCACAGAGGGCAGGCTGCTGGTGGAGCTGGGAGTTCCAGGTTATTGGTAGTGCTTTATGTGGGACATGAGGGCGCAGCCTTTGCAGACCAGCTGTCACAACTGGGAGCTGTTTTGTGTTGAGCTTGGACACCAGCCGCCTCCATCCTGGCTGCCCCTTAAGCGGTCTTCTGGCTCTGGGGACATCTGCCCAGCTTAGGAATGAATCCTCAACATACATAAAGCTAACTGTAAATATACAAAACACTGAAATAAATATAACAGAGTTTGTCTTAGCTGCCAGAATAACTCAGATATAACTAGCCAAGGGTTATTAGTTTTAAATTGTTTTTTGTCTATGTGCTAAAATTGTCCTGCATTTGCTCTCATGTGATGCTAATCATAGTCTTTACCACTGAGGTGTAGTTGATTTATTCTTCTTCTTGTTCATCAGTATGCTCACCTGGTCACTAATCAGTATATGTTGGCCAAACATAGTGTTGGGCTAGCCAAACAGGCTGGGATTTGAAGGTTGTTTCTACTTTCTCCGTCTTCAGTCAGAAGCAGAGGTGTGTTCAGGCAGTGGTTGCATGAGGTGAGGAAAGTCTCGAGGTATATGCTGTGCATGTAGTCAGTGTTAAGCAGTCACACTGGAGACCTGACTTTCTGTTGCTATTTTATTTGCCTGTTTTGGAAGCCATTACATCCTTGTTTGAATGCCTTATTGAGATACAGTCTTAGAGTTTAACCAGTAGTCTTAAAAGCTATTCAATAGGCACAGTCAGGAGCTCTTTTTTTTCTGACTGTAAAAGTGAAACATTTGTGGGATCACTTGAAAAAGCTGCAGCCCAAATTACCAGCTTTTAATCCAACTAGAGCAAGGTAAAGAGACTTTATCTGATCTGTTGCCTCTGGCATTTTCTCCAAACCCACTTGTTTCTCAGTAGCAGAAACATCTTGCCCAATTGGGATGCAATAATTTCAAAGCAAGTAAAAGAAACTGCAGCTGCTCAGCTGAGTCAGCCAAAGGTAAGCTCTGCAGGGGAGAAAATGGCTTTTTATGATCTTCTAGTGGCAAAATTACTACAATAGCCTGCAGGAAAAGATTAGTTTATACTAGTAACAAAAACATCTGTTAAATTCTGAGCTCACTGCATGTTAAAAAAAAAAGAAAAAAAGCAAACCAAACAGGCATTTGATAAAATTATTTTGAATAAAACTCAATATTGAGATTCAGTTTGTGATGTCAGGTGCCTACTGTGATCTTAGGATAGACAACTGTTTTAACTAATTGACTACATGGGGCATTTCATCAGTGGACAAGACAGCTTTTAGCTACAGAGATTTTATTGAACTGAGCTTGGAATGCTCTTATTACTTAATGAGCGAATAAGTCAACATGTGTTCATTATGTGGGTTACTTGTAAGCAGGAATAACCTCTGTCCTGTGCGCTGTGAGAGCACACTGTGCAAGGAGGTATGAGTGTCTGTCAGATCTGGCTCCTGGGGGTTTCAGCTCATCAGCCTGTTTTAGAAATACAAGAATTGCCATGATTGAATTGTGTCTCTGAAGCCCTACCAGCATCATTTGCATGCTTTAGGAACGAGGTGCTTCCAAATCTGATGTGCAGAAATTGGAGCCCTGCTTGGCTCTTTCAGTTCAGACTGCAACTTCAGACTGTCAGTTTCCAAAATACCACTGATTCCCATGCCTTAGAATGGCTGCCAGACAAACCCCTTTCAGAGGGTAGTTGGGTCCTCAGAATTTTTCTCAGCCCATGTACAGGCAGTTACCCATTTCTTGAGCTATTCCTGGGAGCCTGGCTGCAAAGTGGTTGTCAGAATGATGAAAGTATTCGTGGACGCAGACTTGAGACCCACTTTTTTTCTGCCTTTTGTGTAAGGAAGAACATTGTTGTGTTTTGCATGCATGCAGCACTTTATTCTGAGGATCCCAAAGTGCAGTAGGAATTCTAATAACAGTGTGAGGGTTTCTGCCCTTCTCACAGAGAATAAAACTGAAACTTGGAGAATTACATACAGTCACAAGCAGCTTGATCACTGAAATAGAAATAGTGGGTTATTTGCTATTGTTTTCAGCAGCAACAGGCTTTTGTGCAGAGTGAATCACTTGGAAGGCTGAGGAACATTCTCCAGAGCTCCTGATTCATGTCCCCATGTGCCCCACCACAGGGTCATGTCCCAGATCGGAATCCTCAGTGTTCATTACTAAAGCGGTCATGTGCAAGGAGCACAAAACCACTCATACTTGCAGACTCTAAAGTTGCAGGTTTGTTTCATAAGAGCCTTTGCTCTGCTGTGCCTTGTGTTCCCTGCCCAGACTAGCCCTGATCTGCAGGTCACATATGTGCAGTGCTGTGCATGGACTTCAGGTACAATTGGAACTGAAGTCTTGAACAGCCAATAATAACCAAGCAGGTAAACAACAGAGGCTAAATTTAAATGCTGTGTATACCTACATAATAAATATTTGCTGTAGGCTGGCTTCTATGAAAAAAGAAAGAAGGGGAGATATTGTCCCCAGTAAAAAAGATGTGGTTATCTGCACTATGAGAAGGGTTTGAAATCAGTGTTATCTATGGGCTGTGTACTGGTGTTTGTGTAAAGCAGCTGTCTGTGCATCTCAGTGCTGTGAAGGTATAAGGTATTTTGCTTGTTCCTCCTTAAGTTTCTAAATTTGAAAAATAGCAGTGGTGAAAGAGGAATGTTAGGGGTTTCCCTGCTAAGCCTATTTTGGTTTTCATAGCTTGTTCTATTTGTAGTAGTCTGTAACTGTAATCACAGAACTGGTTAGAAGATCTGATCCAAAGCTTGGTATGAGTTCTAATTTATGTTTTGGATCAGCATGTAATATGTAGTTCCATTTATATCCCCCTTCTTAACTATAAAATACTCAGGGTATTTCATCACTGAAATGTTCTTTACATACGATGTCATCAGTGAGTTCCGTTCTGTGTGACAGTATACTGTGAGCAGTGCTAAAACTTGAAACTTAAAACTATGAGCAAACCAGCTACACAGATTAATGCTGTGGGGTCAAGCAGAGAGTGTGCAGCAGTGTGGTGGATGTCAGGAGGGCATGCTGGACCTCTGGTGCTGGGCCTGGGAAGATGCTACTGCCTTGTGGTGCAGAATACCCCCCTACATCCCCCACTTCCTACACTGGCAGCCTTTCCCCTGTCTTCTGGAGCACCATACCATGTGCCAAGTTACTTAGTCTCAGTTTTTTCAGTTTGTGTCATTAACTCACGCCTTCTTTCACCCTTAACAGTTTGAGTTTCGTCTTCATTTTCTGAGTGGATTGATCAAGTGGGTCTGTCTCCGTGAGTCTCCAGGTAGCACCCAAGAACTGCCCAGTACAGGGACATTCTGCAGAGAAAGCTCAGAAGTTTGTTTTTTTCAGAGGAGCAGGAGAAGTGAATAGGTACTGACAAACAGTAGGATTGGCATGCTGCCAATCCGTTAATTCTGAGCAGTGTTTCCCAGTAATGGGAGCAGGTTCTGCTCAAAATATGAAAGGGAAAAGTGAGAAAGATGTGGAGTAAGAAGATGAAATGCCAGAACTGTGAGAAGGTGCAGGTATTATGTGCAGAGAGGATTATAATATTAAAGGAAAAATACATGAAAATAATGTGGAAAAGAGAGGTGTGCCTAAGAAAAGCTGCTGAAAGCATTTTGCAGCATGATGTGAAGAGAGTACTGCATCTTGTGGGCTTAGCTTTCCTTCCAGAGTAACATAATTCTGTGTATGTTCTTCATCTGAACTCTTTTCCTATTATTGCTATTCCGTTTAAACAGTGATCTCATATTCAGAATGTGTTTTTATTGCACAAAATAAATCATGGTGAGCAATTAGCTATTTCAAACACTAAACTAAGGTAGATTAGGCATTTCAAATATTAAAGTGGGGGAAAAGCACCAGGAACAAGAGTGTGATAATCATTAGTTAATTTGAAAAGATGTAAATGTGTTCACCTATGATTGACTGATTAGTCAAAGACACATGAAAGGGTTTCATTCATAAGCCCCGCTTTGCCCATGGATATAGCTTCTATTTATGTGAAGAACATGCTTTGGTCTCTTTTCTTTTGGAACCCAAGCTGAGTGTGTGTGTGTTGCTTTGAAAGCAAAAATCATCTCTTTGTAAGGGTCCTGCGCCTCACCCCACATCAATGCCTTTTGTGCAGGAAGGCATCTGCTGTGATTGCCTGGGGAAATTTTATGCATCAAGTGCATAGTGCAGAGAGCTCTGGGAAAGGGGGGGGGGGGCGAGGAAATCCTTGTTTCCTTTTGTGTTCTTCAAGTACAAGAGAAATAGAAAGGTGGTGTGTTTTTTTCAAGGTGTTCTGCTGATCTGGAAACAAGACAGCAGATCTCAGCTTGGCTGGGATCCTCATCCATTGCCATGCTGGATCTTTAAATGGAGGGGTGCTGAGCTGAAGGAGGAGCCATGGGTATTTCTTACCAGGTGGAAAAGGTTGATTGGCTTTTAGAGAGTGTATTGCTGCCTGGGTTGTGCAGGGTGTGAGATGTGATATAGGCTAGGGCGCAGGATGTGTGAAGGATCACACCTTCAGTTGTGAAGTGTGAAAACTGTTGTCTGCTTGAGAAACTGGATTTTATGTAATAGGAGGTATGTGTGGGACTGTTGAGGGACATCTGAAGGAGGAGTTGAGGAAGGAAGCTGTGAATGCTCCATCCCTAGCGGTGTTCAAGGCCGGGTTGGACAGAGCCTTGGGTGACATGGTTTAGTGCGAGGTGTTCCTGCCCATGTCAGGGAGGTTGCAACTAGATGATCTTAAGGCCCTTTCCAACCCTAACTGTTCTATGATTTTGCTCTGTACTTCAGCTAAAGCTGAGCAAAAATTGTCCACGTGCATGCTCTACCATCCTGTTTTTCTGGGGGGAGTGGAAGGGACCTGCAAGAGTTTTCGTCAGGTTTCTCTTGCAGGTGTACTGAAATAGGCAGGAAGCCTTGGGTTTTGTCTTCTGGTTGTTTTGTATTTTTCCTTTTTTGTGTTTCCTCAGAATGAACTATTTCTTTTCCAACCTCAACCCTGAAGAGCAGTTGCGGGGAGACAGGGGAAAGCACTGCAGTTTGGCTCTGTATCATTTGGGCTGTTTGAATTCATTAGCTTGGGAGCCCTCACGAATGCCTCAGGCTGTGTACCTCCTCATGCACCCAACTTGGGAGAATCTCTTACCATTACTGCATGCATTAGCCTTCATTAATACAATTAGCATAATAATGATTAGGATTCATTATTCCCTACAAAAAGATAAAGCCAGTAATACATATCTCAGTACCAAATTCCTTAGTGCCTTGTCTTGGAATTGCTTTATTTTGGAGCTGTTTGCTCTTTATATCCTTCCATCTCCTAGAAAAAAAGAAAGCTGCTTAATTGTAAAACTGTTTGGGTCAAAGAAATGTGCTCAGATGATCTTTCACGCATGCTAAATAAGTGATCTATGGGACCCGCACAGCTCAGACAGCCACTCAACTGTTGAAACTGCAAACTTCCTCAAGCACAAAAGCTACTTAGTTTCCCCGTATTGAAGACTTTTTATAATAGCAATAAGACAACTCTAGAGAGAACCATCTAATATTAACTCCAGGGAGTAATCATCTAATCACAATCTGGGGGTGATTTGGAGCACTCATCTGGACCAAATGTCTCACAACACCCTAGGAGTGGTTTTATTGCATGATAGCAGTACCCCATTGAGCCTTATTGCTTAATTAAAAACAAATTCCCAAGTAATTTTTTTGCCTTTCCATAAAAACACAGTAGTACATAGCATGTATAAAACATCCATTAAATGATGGTACATGCAAATTTACATTGTGAGATACAATCCGTTTCTTTACCACTTGGGGTTGAAGTTAAATGTAAAACCATTTCCTATAATCTGTGCACTGCTGTGTTTAGAGAGGAATAAATATGGGAAAGAGAGGTTCATCGTAGGATGCCTTGTTTTTATTAAGTGATATGTTTGGTCTCCTTACAAAGGAGTTCAAATTTTCATCCATCTTGCAGATGTAATAGTCAATCAACAGTGTGGCCTTTTCTGCTTCCTCCTGGAGGTTTCCTCAGCATGCTGTCCTTTCAGTGCAGATCTACAATAGGTATCCTGTATTTCTTCCTGGGAATTTAATTCCTCTGAGCAGAGAGAGCATGAGCAGTGCAGGTGATGTATTTGGGATACATCTAGCTTACAAGTGGTGCACAGGTGTCCTTTGTGGATTTTGTAGTCTGGTTTGAATTAAGCATGGTTGGTGTACAGCTGACTTCTGCCTGCGCTGGTTGCATGGCTCAGAGGTCTCCACCTCCTGCAGTTTGACTGGGACCACTGCTACAGCTGTGGCTGCCCTGCAGAGAACCCAGACTGTGGATGGGGAGAGTATGAAAGTCCTTTTTAATATTGAGGCATGCGTCAGCATCCCAACCCACAGCTCCCTTAGACCTTTACAGAGTGCTTTCATAGCCCCAGATGTAGTGCTCCCCTGAGGACTTTGAACACTGTTGATATGTTACAAGCAAAGAAAGCAAATCCAAGGTTTTAAGTGATTGTTCAAAAATCATACAGGAAGTGCTAGAGAGAATGCTTCAAATTGCTGGTAGCCAAAGGTGTAACTGGGCTTTTGGCCACAGCAATAAATGGGGAGGGGAAGGGGAAATGGTTGGCATGACATTTTCTTCGGATTTGTCACTCAGGGTGCCTTTAAGTAATTGATGGAGATAAGCCTGCAAGTACATGTTTTTAAATATAAGCTGAGAATTAGCAGTAACTATTACTCTAGTTGTTTCACATGCCAAAGCCTTCCAGTGGTGCCTACAGGCTCTGCATAGAAGATGACACTTGTGTCAATCTCACCCGCTGTGGCCTCCACTCTGTTACACACAGCCTTATGGTTTTCCCTATCAAATGGTGGTTGCCCAAGGACTGGTGGGAGCTGAGGCCATGTATGAATATCTGCTGTTGGTAGCACATTGCAGCATTCAGGGTCATAGAAGCAGCATGCTTTGTTCCATATTTAGATTTTGTAAAAAATAAATGGTATGTTTGGTGAACCACTCTGCTAGACTGTTTTGCTGGCTTCATTTTAAAAGTCCCTTTAGAGAGACATTTAGTGTTGTGGTTTGGTACAAAGAGGTTACAACATTGTACAAAGTGGTTACAACATTGTACTAAGGAAATGAATGAGAGGAAATCTAGTCACCTGCCTGAGGTCAGGCTGAAAGCATGGCAAAAAGAATAATTAAGTCTGTGTATTTAAACCAGTTCTGTACATTGGCAGGTCAGGAAAGGACATGAAAGGACCTGTCAGAGTTCTTGAACAATAAACATTTTTACCTGAAAGATCTCTGCTGCTTTTATTAGGAATGCTTTGATCTGATACTCTGGGACGGACTTTTTGTACAGCTGACAGAGCAAGTAGCCAACAAAGGAAAGACCTAATAGGCTTTAGTACCTTTAACGAAGAGTTTCTCTTCCCCCTTAGATGTATGATATTTTACAAGGGCTCTTTTCATCTTAATGCATCACGCAGATGGCTATATGCGGTAGGAGAAGCACGCACTGCTGGCTAGGGGGCAGGGTTTAGCAGGCTCGCTGTCAGACTTGACTGGCCCTCAGCGTGCAGCTGCGGTAGGGTCAGCAATGCTCCTTGCCGGCCCTGCCTGTAAAGCAGCTGCCACTGGCACTGATGCAGCCTGGATGCATTTGCAGGGCAGCGCATCGGAGCTGCCCCAGAGTAGGGCCTGGGGGGGAGCAGCTCTGGTAGTGTTTGGTTTGATTTTGTCTGGGGCTCTTTGTGTTTAGAGGTTTTTTGCAGGTGGGTTTTGCAGCAGAACAGGGGGTTTATTAGCCTTGAACAGAGCAAGAAGAAACAATCGTGCCCTACCTTGTGGCATCCAGACACACTGGGCAGCTGTGGACTGCTGGAGTAGGTGAAGGCATGCCTCAGTTGCATCAAACCTGCAGTTTGCTGAGTGCCTGCAGCAACACTGAAGGGTTTACAGAGTACAAATCTAGCCTATTCCCTCATCTGAGCACTTATTTTTTGTCATCAGGACACAGCAGACATCATATATCTGCATTTATCTAGCCTTTAACAAGATGAGAGTAAAGAGTCTGAAGTTGATGGCTCTGGGACATGTATGACTTACTTTAAAAGTCATGAAGGAAATGAAAAGTGTGATATTTTAGTAACTGGAAGTGCCTGGCTTAGTTTGGTTCTGGCTTTTTTTTAATTTCAACACAGTAGGCAATTTAGAAAATATGTTTACAGTAAGGAAAACGCAGTTGTTATGGAAACATCTGAGACAGGCAGCTGACATAGGATAAGACATGCACCAGATTAGTAGTACAGATAGACACAGTAAAAAGGCAAGTTCATGTAAGGTAAAGGAGCAGTTTCTAGGCGCCGTTTACTCCATGGGTGGCTTTTCACTGACATCGGGGGGGGGGGGGGGGGCGGGATCACTTTAAAACTGCGAGCATGTGGCTCCATCTTCTGGTACCAGAGCAAAATGCATTGACCTGGGAATAGAAGGAGGTGAGGCGATTTCTATAGCACTCTTACGTTAGCTGCAACAAAAACAGTAGCGACAACAACAATAATAAATTATAATAATAATTGCCACAGATCCAAGCCACAAGTTATTAATGTAGTTTTCCTGAGGCTGCAACCGTTCTGCTGCATGGGAAGAAAACTGTAATTTGAAACATTTTCTTAAGTGTGTAGCCCAAAAAGTGCCTTGTCTTCTTTTACAAAACCAGTGTTTGATCAGAGCATGGACTGTACCAGCAAAGCTTGGTGCCTGTGTAGGTGCTAATATTGCCTCCTGCTTATAGCTGTAGGATGTTTTTCTTTGTTTTTCCCCTCCCCAACAATGTATTTGGCAAAGTAGCTAAAATTCATGATACATCATGGAAATGCTAGCTGGGTAGAAGCAGGAATGAACAGTTCTATGAGGAAGACTGCCAGAAGTTAAAAGAAAATAAAGCTGGTTAATTACTTCAACAAACAGTGAATGTTGTTACGGTGCATACTGCACGTACTTAAGTGAGCTTGATTACTCAATCTGTTCACATTAGTAACTCATTTTGTTTTAAATAGAAGTAAGTCATTGTTCAAAACTAGAAGATGTTATTGTTCTCTGGGTAAGCTATGGGTTTTCTAAGTAATCCTAAATAATTGCCCCAACTTTGTTGCTTAAGAAAAAACTCTTAAACAGCACAACAAACCAGAAACAAAGGTAATCATCTTGATGCTGTGCTGTCCTGAAGCTGTTGCTTGCAATGCATTGCAAATAGGAGGTATTGCACTGTAAATGCAAAATGTAAAACATGGATCATGTGTGTAACTTATTTAACTTAGAATCATAGAATCGTTAGGGTTGGAAAGGACATTAAGATCATCTAGTTCCAACCCCCCTGCCGTGGGCAGGGACACCTTACGCTAAATCGTATCACCCAAGGCCTCCTCCAACCTGGCCCTGAACACTGCCAGGGATGGAGCATTCACAACCTCCCTGGGCAACCCATTCCAGTGCCTCACCACCCTAACAGGAAAGAATTTCCTTCTTATATCCAACCTAAACTTCCCCTGTTTAAGTTTGAACCCATTACCCCTTGTCCTGTCACTACAGTCTCTAATGAAGAGTCCCTCTCCAGCATCCCTATAGGCCCCCTTCAGATACTGGAAGGCTGCTATGAGGTCTCCATGCAGCCTTCTCTTCTCCAGGCTGAACAGCCCCAACTCTCTCAGCCTGTCTTCATACAGGAGGTGCTCCAGTCCCCTGATCATCCTCGTGGCCCTTCTCTGGACTTGTTCCAACAGTTCCATGTGAGACTGACTGGTCTGTAATTCCCTGTCATCCATTTTCCCCTTCTTGAAAATGGGGGCTATATTTCCCTTTTTCCAGTCATCGGGAACTTCACCTGACTGCCATGATTTCTCAAATATGATGGCCAGTGGCTTAGCAACTTCATTTGCCAGCTCCTTCAGGACCCATGGATGGATTTCATCAGGACCCATGGACTTCTGCACGTTCAGCTTTTTAAGATGGTCTCGAACCAGATCCTCTCCTACAGCGGGCCCAAGGTCTTCATTCTCACAGTCCCTGCGTCTGCCTTCCAAAACTTGGGTGGTGTGGTCAGAGCCTTTGGCAGTGAAGACCGAGGCAAAGAAGTCATTCAGAACCACAGCCTTCTCCAAATCCTGTGTAGCCAGGTCTCCTGAGAGCTTCCTGAGGGGGCCTACATTCTCCCTAGTCTGTTTTTTATTTGCTATGTACCTGTAGAATCCCTTCCTGTTAACCTTAATACCTCTAGCTAAGTTTAATTCTAACTGAGCCTTAACTTTCCTAACCTGGTCCCTAGCTTCTCCACAACATCCCTGTACTCTTCCCATGCCACCTGTCCTTGCTTCCACTTATTATAAGCCTCTTTTTTCAACTGAATTTTCCTCAGGAGCTCCTTATCCATCCAAGGAGGTCTCCTGGCCCTCCTGCTGCACTTCCTTCTGGTTGGGATGCAACACTCCTGAGCTTGTAGCAGGTGATCCTTGAATATCAACCAACAGTCTTGGGCCCCTCTGCCCTCTAGGGCTGTATCGCATGGAACCTTCCGAAGCAGGTTCCTGAAGAGGCCAAAGTCTGCTCTTTTGAAGTCCAGGGCAGTGAGCTTGCTGCACACTCTTCTCACTGTCCTGATGATCTCAAATTCCAGCATTTCATGATCGCTGCATCCAAAGCTGCCCTGGAGCATCACATTTCTAACAAACCCCTCCCTGTTGGTGAGCAGAAGGTCAAGCATGGCACCTCTCCTTGTCGCCTCCTCTACTGCAGAAGGAAGTTGTCTTCTACACGATCGAGGAACCTCCTGGATTGGTTGTGCCGGGCCGTACCGTCCTTCCAACAGATGTCAGGGTGGTTGAAGTCACCCATGAGAACAAGGGCCTGCGAGCGTGAGGCTTTTTCTATCTGTCTATGGAGTGCTTCATCCGCAGGTTCTCCTTGATCAGGCGCTCTGTAACAGATCCCCACAGTAATGTCTCCCATAGCTATATTCCCTTTAACCCTGACCCACAAACTCTCTGTTATCTGCTCACCTGTCCCCAGACAGAGTTCCATACTCTCCAGCCTATCCCTAACATAAAGGGCAACTCCCCCTCCCCGCCTGCCAGGCCTGTCCTTCCTAAAGAGCCTGAAACCTTCCATTCCAACACTCCAGTCATAGGAGCCATCCCACCATGTTTCTGTGATACCCCCGTAGATGTGCCCACATCTCTAATTCCTCTTGTTTGTTCCCCGTGCTATGGCATTTGTATAGAGGCTTACTTCAGTGGACATATGTAAGTACGTTTGGGTTTTGGTTTTTTTGTCACCCTAGATATTGAGCTTAGGTTATAAGGGACTGTTTGTATGAATTATTAGTTCTTAGTCCAAACTCCTGCATGGCAGACCTGTGAGAATGAGGGTGTGGGAACATAAATTTAATGGTCCCACTGCTTTTGCCTGTACTTCTGCCACTCTTGCACTAACATGAGTGGTGAGTTATTTGCATGCAGCAGTTATCCATGGTGAGGGTTGTATGGAGACCTGCTTGGAAAGAGTGGGCTCATGTCAGCCCAGCTCCTGTATGGCAGGCAGTCATAAAACAGAAATCATCCCTAATAGCAGCAAGGCTGTGGAAACTAGAGATAGAACTAGCCTTTATTCCTCAGTGGGGTACTTTCAAGCCCCCCTCAGAGGGAAGCATTTTAAATGGCCACAGGCTGTGCTGATATGATTATATCCTCTATGGCTTGCATTTATCCTTTCTAAATTGTCCCTGCAGCTGGAGTGCACTGGGCTTCCCCTTGGTGCTACCTGAAGTTTCCTCTTGAGGCTGTCCCATGTTCCTATGAGCTCCCCCCCCACACACACTTAACATTCAGTTTCATCCTGTTCCATTTCATTGGTGATTTTAAGCTTTAATTTTTAGGGTCTGTGGCTTTCTCTGTATCCTGTGGATTATTCTAAAGGGATATACTCACCTTTCTGAAAGAAGTCACAAGGTAGAACCTTTCACCAACTCTAACATTAAATAAACTCTACAGACCTCTTTAAGGAAGTACAAACCCACAACAAATCCTGCCTGGATTGTGCTTGATAAATCGGATCTTTTGCAGACATCTGGAGATTCTGTTTGCAAATCAAATGTGCTTCCAGCCAGCCTTTTTTGCAGTCATTGTTACCATAATTCAGGTTAGTGTTGTTGCCACTTTTTACTTGCTAAAACACATGTGGTGCTTTATCGCTTAAAAAAAAAAAAAAAAAAAAAAAGAGTCTGCTTTGGAACAGAAGTTCTTTTAAAACCTGCCTTGTAAGTCTGCTGTTTGGAGAAACAAATGTCAAATCAATTGTCCTAGCTCTGAACTGCCATTCTGAAAATGCAGCTGTGGGAAGAGATTACTTGGGTACTGTGATGGGGAGCGCTTAAGAATCTAGACTGAGAATTATGTAGCAACAGAGACCTAAAATAACAAGTGGAACAAGTAAACTTCTGGCTTTTCCTACAAAGATTAGCTTAAAAAATACTAGATCCCAAGTGAGGGTGTTCATGCCAAGTTTTAAATCCCATTTGAATTTTTATAGCAGTTATAATCTCTGATATATAACTTTGCAAACAGGGTATTGTAACAGAAGTGCTGAGTCATTTGACTATTGCCTCACAAAAGAGAGTTGCTGCAATAAGCTATAACTCTGTGACAAGTTTGTAAGGCTGCCTTATGTCTGCATATTATCGGTGGGTCTAAGATGGGGAGAGTATTTGTGTGTACATGATCAACTGTATGAGGTTGTTCCAGTAGTGTCAGCCTCCTAAATGTAACAGACACAATGCAGTATATCCTTATCCACTGAAATGTTGCCACAGGGAGAGGCTGAGGCTTGGACACACTGTCATGGAAAATAAAGAAAAGCTTATTTATTCTTTCTTTTTCCTATCCTTATTTTTCCATATTTAAGAAAGAAATATATATTACAGAAGAAATGGAAGTTCCCAAGGAGCTTGGGCTGCAGAAGGATTCCACGTGCCAACTCTCTTTTCCATCTCATTATCATATGCTTGCAATCAAACTCTAATTTTTGAGATAAAAAACCTGCAGGATTCTTTACTGGGACTATTAAACCTTCAATCTTCATTATTTAGGATGGCTACTTACCTTCTACTCAATGAAGCCATAATGCAACCATTCCTATAAAAACTATCAAAATGGCTACTGTGGCACCGAGTAGATTTTCCTCCGTGTAAAATAATCCTCTGTGAGTGAGACATAACTATCATTCACATTAATTAGGCAGCCATATAATGGGGTGTTCAATAGCTATTACATCATTTAAATTCTTCAGTGAGCACCTCAACCACCCAAGAACTATCCAGCTGAACATTTCTGAGTCCATAATTTTGAAATAATCCTTTAGAGGAAGAATATGCATGGCAGAGTGTTGCAGGCAATTTCACACACACACAAAATCATTTTATTCAAATTTATGGGATTATTTTAACATTTATGAGAAGTGCATAATCCTATTTTTCCTTTCCTCCCAGAATAATAGTGCTAGTAAGTGGAGTCCATTTTAAAGATGATATTGTGTGTACACTAGAGGATGGCCAAGCAGCTGGTATTCGGAGGTCTGCCTTGGGAGTTGTACTCAGATACACCACAAGCGTATCCCTAAATGTTTTGTTGCAAGCCTGGGGCTCCAGAGCCATGTGGCTCAGCTGAGAAACCCTGACTCATGGACCAGTCAGGGTTGAAGGTTTGGCTTTCAAGTCTTAACTTCTGCCTTTAACAAGCATATGACAACTTCAGCATTTATATTCAATTTTGGTTATTGACTTAAAATTCATGAGGTCAAGCCAAAGTCCTTTGGCATTTCTGGTAACATTGTACTTCCCAGAAACTATTATATGAATATTATAATTAATGTTCTATTTTTTTTTTTATATGTTATGACTAGTATCTCAGTCAAAAGTATGCATGGTTGTCATGAGGCCAGGAGCTCATTCTGAAAGCTGAAAGAAATAAGGCTGAATTTCTTAACTAATACACTAGGATGAAAATTCTGTTATCAGGCCTGTACCACATCTTGAACATGCTGTTCAGTTGCCTACAGAACATGGTGGCTATTAGAAGATTGATCAGCACCTGAAAGCTTCTGAAAGTAAAACAGTGTTGTTTGGCAACAGTTATGTGCTATGGGAATAATTCCTAATGGAATGAAAAAAGGTAACAGCCTAAAAATAGGCTGGGGAGTGGGGCAGGATAGGCAGTAAAGTTTAGGTTGTGCCTTTTCCCTCAGCATCCTGGTTCAAAGCTGTCAGTTATGTTATGTTAGACAACTGTATACTCAATTTTTTTTTCTCTCCTCTTAATGGTTTTAAGGTACTGTACCTTATCTGACTAATACACTAATAGAAAACAGCAGAGAGCTCTTAATTCAGTATTAAGTGTTGCTGGCTTCTCCGTAGTTCTCTATAATTCCAGTCCAACAGGCAGTGTGCAGAGCTAGATGTCAAAACCCATCTGCAGGTAAAGCGGCAGGTACAGTTTGTTCTGCAGCCCAGGAGGTTTGTATTTGCCAGGTGTAACAGCTCTTCTCAGCAGCAGTGGATGCTAGATCCTCTCTCACGTTTGCTCACTAATGTAATTAAACCAGGACACTGAGGGAGATTTCTGCCTTACCAAAAGAATACATTTTCATCACAGGCTGTAAGAAAGGTGAGTCTGGGTTGGAGTTAGTTACCATAGGAATGACAGAATTAAGGAAGGTGAGCCTGAGAAAAAGATAGGTCAAACCACTGTGAAATTCCATGGAATTGTCCATTGACAACAAATAATTTGACTTGGATCACCAGAATCATGGTCTGGTGAATGTTGTAAGCTCTGTAAATCCAGTTTTTGTTTATCTAAGAGGATTAATGAAGGTGAGCATTTGTTATATAGGTCAACTAATGTGTTTTACTCAGTGAGCCCCTGCATGCTAACAAGCTCACCTTGGGTGCAAGAAGGCAGTACAGCTGGGCTAGGAGACACAGCTAGTAAGGGTTAATCTTTCAAAGTACTCAGGTGCTTTCCATATTGAAAGAGCTTGTTTAGAATTTAGGTGTTGCCAAAGAGGCTGTGGCGGTGCAGGAGACTGCCCTGATATAGTTGCTACTGATGACAGGGGATCTTCTGTCCTGCTGCTGATGCTGCTTCCACTTCACGTGGTGCATAGGCTGAAGAAGATAGAGCTGTTGGAGCCTGAAAGGAGAGCTTGTGGATTGTTGAAGCTTGTACTCACATCACTTAAGGTCAAAGTGAAACAAACGGAGATTAATGAAGGAAATTGTAGTGTGTGCGGCAATGTGGCCTTCAGTGTGAAGGTGTCAGTGACTGCAGCAGGAATGATAAGGTGACCAGAACTTTTTGTTAGTTAAAAACCATGTCTGTGTATGGTTCTGGGACTTGTAACTGGTGAATGGGCATGTGTAACTGCTCTGGTAATGGACCTGAGGAACTACCTCGTTTAAAGAAAAGCAGTGCTGCCCTGACTTTGAGAAGACGCTGTTCCTCTTGAAAACATGCTGCTGATGCAGAGGAGCAAGATAGTGTCTCAGGTCTAAGGCAGTACAGTGGGTCCTGCCTTAAACACAGCTGTGTTTTAACTGTATTTTAAAAGGAGTAGAAGGAGGTGTGGAAAAAAAAACAACAAAAAGATAAGTGAACTGTTGTGGTTATGTGAGGCAAAGGATGCTATTTATGAAGAGAATTATAAGCAAAGATGTTATTTGATAGCAAAACTGTCAGTAGCTCTGTCATGTGTGCTGGTTCTTTGCACATGTGCACCAACAGAAACGTGACAGAGTGTAGACCTGGGCTGTTTTAAGAGCTGTTACAAATTCAGTGTTTCCCAGTCACCCATTTGCCTTGGAGAGTAAAAAATTCTGATAATTTTTAGATGATATCCTGTGGCTTTTGCTCACTTCTCAGGGACCACCTCATATTTATTTGTAGAATGTTAAAGATTATCTCTAAAGCTTTTATAAAAGCTTCATAAATACCAGGAGAAAAGAAAAAGTGCTGGAGAGGGACCAATAGCCTAAGTTGGTTAGTGTGACACATGCAGTCTTTATCAAAATTGGAGTATGTTTTTCCTGAGAAAAGTAGAAGCCTGCAGATGATGCACAGAATTACCAGTGAGTGTCACACCAGTGAATACCTGCAGCTTTTCCCTGCAGGATTTGTTTCCACTACAAACTGACTCCCCTTTATTACTTAGTCTGAACTCCATCCAGTGTTTTTAGCTCTGTATTCTTTGTCACCCTATGCCATTTCTTGGTCTCTTTCTATGAAAAAAAAAAAAACACCACCAATGTTTCCAGCTAGAGGTTTTAAACCTATGATTTGCAAATTATCATGAAAATAGTGAAGCCAGGCTTGCCTACCTTTTATTTACACATCTTGGAACAATCAGGTGTCAGAAACATCACAGGATGGACAGTACCTGTTTGATCAGTACAAGATAATCCTGTTAGGGCTACTTGATGAATACTGTACTATAGCTCATTTAGGGTAAGCACTTCAGTGCCACTACTGGGATCTGTAGGAGGTGGATGTTCCTAGTGCTTTAGATACTGGGAGGTGGCCCCATCAATGCTGTATCTCTTCAGGAGTGCTCTTTAGGGCTATACCCATTGCTTCTGGCAATTTTCCAAAGTGCTCCCAGAGCTATCATGGGGTCTGTGGAGCCATATTTTTTTGTCTTGGTGGCCTTTCCAAGGACTATGAAAGTATGCTGGCATCTGTGGTGCATTCTTCAGGGGGCCATTTGCTTACTCAGGTCATCTGGGGCTTTTTCCCTGTTTCAGGGAATCTGGAGTTTTGTGCTGGGAAGGGTATCTGGGCTCCTGTCGGTAGCGCAGGAGGTCTTTTGGGCTCCCCAGTGCAAGACAGGCACAAACATACTGGAGAGAGTCCAGTGAAGGGCCACTAAAGTGATGAAGGGATAAAGTATCTCTTGCATAAAAGCCTGAGAGTGCTGGCATTGTTAAGCCTGGAGAGAAGAAGGTGCAGGTTGGGAGGGTAGGGAGAATATCTTATCAATGTCTATAAACACTTCAAAGGAGGGTGTGAAGAAAATGCAGCCAGACATTTTCCAGTGGTGCCTAGTGACGGGACAAGGTGATGGGCATAAACTGAAGGATCAGGAAACACTTTTCATGGTTTGGGTGATGGAGCACTGGCATGGGTTGGTTGGCCAGGGAAGTTGTAGAGTGTGCCACCATGTCGATATTCCAAAGCCATCTGGATATGGTCTTGGGCAGCTGGCTGTAGGTGGCCCTGCTTGAGCAGGGAGGGTTGGATCAGATGACATCCAGAGATCACCTGCCACCTCAGCCCTTCTGTGATTCTGGAGTTGCTACTGTCACAGCCAGGGCCCCTAGCTACCACAGGCATGAGAAACTTGCTCCAGGCTTTGAGGGCATCCGGAGTGCCTGCTGCTTTACTCCAGCCTCAGTGCTCATGAAGAAGAGGAGCAGGTAATTTTGCAAGTACCATGGCTTTTAAGGCTCAGTGTTCACACTAGGGTAGGGTTGAGTGATTAGGGGGTTTTGAAGGGAGAGTTTGAGAGGGTGTCTTAAAAAGCCTTGCAGGGGGGAGTGAAGCAGGGAAGAGGGGGCTAGAGTTGGTGGGGGGCTGCCCTTGTTGGTGTGCTGTGCGCACATGGGTGCCAGTACCTCTGCTGCTGTGCCTGGCTGTCAGTGTTACAGATCCTATGGGCATGATGGACTTTACTGTACCTCCTCCAGAAAGCTCTGGCTGATGAAGCTATGCCACAACAGAGACTACAGCCATCAGCATCGCTGGATACTGATGATGACTAGGGCAGACCTCACACTATACTGTTGTTTTTGCTGCTACTTGCAATGGATCTGCAATGGCCTTAGAGATTGCAGGTATCCCTAAAGCCTGTCCCAGACCCACCAGATGCTGCCTTAAAGCTGCCAGCAGCCCTCAAACTCTGCCAAACCCTTCCTGAAAGCTCCTCCTGACCCCAAGCACTCCTCAAAGACACCTTAAGTCTCTTTTAATTCCTCTGTCTTCCTATCCCTCTTTTCTTCTCCTCCCTATGCCCTTTCTGTATTTTTGTCTTCTATCAT